GGGGCGACCGCGCGGGTGGACTATGGGCCGCCCCAGTTGGCGGGGGAGAGGTCGCGCGCGGGGCGAGGGGGCCGGCCGCGGTGGGCTTCAAATTTGCGCCGGCCCACGAACAAGGCAGTGCATGCTGTGCACGCCGTGCCGCCCGCACTTGTTAGGTTTAGTTCCACCTCGAAAGCGGGGAGGCGCCTCGACCGGCTTAAATATGCGGTCGCGGCTTACACATCGAACTTCTGTGTTATTTATCCTTCCAGCCCCGTTGGAACCTGCTACTGGGCCCGTTGTGGGCCGATTTGATAGCGCGAGTCGATTTGTTTGAAATAATATACCTACTACGGGTCCAGCAGCTTGGGCATTTTTTCAGTACGTCATGACATTTTTTTTCCTTTAAACAAAAAACTGTAGGCATAAATTTCACAAAGGCATAAATATAAAATCAGTAGCGTCCTTTAAACAGAAAACTGTAGGCATACATTTCAGAAATGCATAATCACTTCAAATAGAAAATCAGTAGCGATGCATAATCGATTGTAACAGTACCAACAATTGTCTCAATCACCAAACAGGCATAATTACAATAATAAATTTGTCCCAATCACCAAATAGCCATAATAATCTATGTGCGAAAAAAAGATATTGTGGCATTATTACAATAATAAAACAGATGGTACGAACCACCAAATAGGCATAATCATGTACGTGGCTAAAACCAAAATTCTGCCATTATTACAATAATGAAATGGTATCAAATAGGCATAATCATGTACGTGGCTAAAACCAAAATTCTGCCATTATTACAATAATGAAATGGTACTAAATAGGCATAATCATGTGGTGGGCAAAAACCCTACACACTTGCTGGCACTTATTCCTTCTCCATAATTTTCAGAATCTTCTCCTTCACCTTAGTCAGTGTGTTGCTCTCTGAAAAAAGTATTTCCGCGAGAATGCGTCCCCTTGAAGAATTGATCTCGTCCTGGTCAAAGTCATGTCTGAAGGCATCCCCGTCCCAGAGTTCGATGCATTTCATCACGAAAAGTCCGCAAGACACTCTAAAAATAAAAATGCTAGTCAAGTCATGATGGAAAACACAATTACATATGCAATCGGCTAAGAGCTTACCCGTCACTTTGTCTCGGCATTTTGTACTCCTTTATTGGCCATTTAGACACATCTGGATGATGTGTACCTATAGCAGAGTTGACCTGATTTGTATCTACAGCAATTTCTGCCCTCTGAAAAAAAAATTGTCAAAAAATATTAAGCATGTACAAAGTGATCATCTTACGAACGTACAAATGTATTCATGCTATGCAAAGTTGTTAAGTTACCATCAAAGCAATCTTCGCATGAACTGCCTTGCTTATTTTACCAGTAGAATTTAGAACTTGAAACTCTTTCTTCTTCGTGTGCATGACAATGGTTATCCAATGATTCTTGTTCACATTCAGAGGGAAAAATGCCTACAAAACATTAAGCTTATGTACAAAAAATTTGCGCCGGCCCGTCAATAGTTGTGTGAAATGCAAATACCTTATCTTTTGCGAAGTACTCGTCAATTACTCTTGACACAGTTTTTGATTCTTTCGTGAAAAATTCCATGTAGTTCATGTTCGAGTTTTTCAGCTTTCCTTTAGCGCGCTGTATGAGGCAGTATGACACCCATGATGTTAGAACATGCCGATCAGCCATAGGAGTAGTAGTCAGCAAGTGGTTCGAATAACAATTGATGACCTATCAAAATTGAGAAGCCAAAAAATGACAGTTAGAAAATGTACTTAGTACAACATAAGTGTATAAGAACGTAAAATAATGCGCATACTTACAGCGCCATTCAACCAGTCGCCCGAAGTGATAGCTTGAAGCATTTCCGCCGTACACGTTTCCCCACCTATTCTCGTCATGTGGACCACAGTCTGCTTACAATGCTTCGGCGAGTCTGCTAGCGTGTCGATATAAATCCTCGCCCCCTCTATCTGATTCTCATCCATAAAGTCCGTACTAAGGAGAACATCACGCATACGAAACAGACCTACAGCAATGAGCGGACATGTAGTTAATTAACTACAAATGTTAGAACATAAAAAGCTTTACAAATGTTTTACAATTAACTTACTTTTTTTCACACGTTTGTGTGGACCGTCCTCAATAATAAAGGGGGACCGACAATACTTTGACTGTTGGCGTTTCCGCTTCCCATCATGCTCCTCAGTCCCATTATTAATCGCGTCCTTACAGATTGTTTCCGGACTAGGGTAAGTACCTTCCGCTGAATTTTCAGCACTAGACCCGACTGATACTGCATTTTCTTTCTGTGGGTTTCTAGTAAGAGAAGGAAAATCATTCGTGCCTAATGATGGTGATGCTTCCTTGGGTGAACCATTATCCTCAATAATAAAGGGGTCGTTTTCAACACCTTTACCAGGTGTACTGGGCATGCCTTCGTCATTGGGAAAGTTCGTACCATTTGGACCCGTGAAGGATGCATCCATCTCCTCCTCCTCGCGTTCTTCCAAAGGAGATGAAGTAACTTCCGTATGATACTTTGGCTTGTACTTTCTCACCAACTCATCACTTTCGTCCTCAAAAGCGCGGTCATCACGGAAGTCCCAACTTCGCTTCACCAGCAAACCCTTCTTACTTAGCTTGTTGAGCAATATCTGCAAGAACACATGGAAGACAATAAGTACATGTAGTTGCCCACGTAAAATAAAGTACACTTTAATAATTACCTCAGCACATTTCTCAGGAATTAGACGTATCTCTTTCTGCATATCTCTTATGCATTTCATGAAGTGTTCTTTCGTACCGCCTCTGCTCGATGAAGCTGTGGGCTTACAACCTTTTCTAGTTCTGCCTCCACCTTTAGGTGAAGGTGGCTCGGTATCTTCCTCTTCGATTATTGCTTCTTTTGCTATTCTGGCATGTCTATATTGTTCGCTTATTAAATCATCAATCTGTGAAATGTTCAACGAATTAAAAATAAGTGATCCGTTATGTACTAGAATTAATGCATGCACTACAAGATATAAATATTTACCGTGCCATGACCACGGTCGTTCTCGTTGTCATATATGTCACGCTTCTTAGCCTCCATTTCGGACCAATTTACCATCAATGGGTACTCCGACAACAAAGGATCGAATGTTTCTACTAAAGTTGGTTGCACCTTCTCCCAGTACATGTACTGCAAAAACATCAAAAGCATTATTGTTCCTGCAGTAGATAACAAGTAAGTAATTCACGATAAAATTACGGTATACCTGGATGAGCGCCAGATTTCCAACAGGCCACTTGAATTTTTTAACATCTTTAATAGTCTTTGTGATTCCTTCAATGCAGACGCGTAACGTGAACGCATTCCAGTTATATGATTTTATGGCTTCGACGTCCTCCACCAACTGGTAAAGAAAATGTGGAACATGTCTGGTGGAGTGCGGTGCTATTATTGTGCCAATGAGGACTAATACCGCTCGCCGCACAAAGTCGTCATCATACGTCCCACTCGAAACTATGTTGTTGATCAACTGATCGATCACTATTTCTCCACTTCGCGCGTCTACGAACTTAGAAGGAACCATTTCCTTCACGTACTCGTCCATTTTACCTAATGCCTTCATAACATCTTTGCCCTTATTCACAAGGCCAAAAATATGAAAGACATCATCCGTCCGCAAGGATATGCCACCTTTTGTCGGACGCAACACGAATCTTTTTTTAATCGGGTCATATTTTTGAATGATGTATTTAAGCAAACACTTTCGCATTTGCATGCTAGGTATCTGCAAAAAATTCTGCAAGCTGGTGCCACGTAGCCGCGTTCGTTGCCTGGCGTTTAACTGGCTGACCAGCGTGCACCACTTCTCCACGGAGCAATAAACTTCTCCGTATTCTTCCATACTAGATACTAGATGAAAAACAACATCAACTATTAGCTATTTGACACAGTGATTTCACATACGTCCACGGCAAGAAACTTCACTTTACCTTCGGGGCCGGGGTTGTTCGTGCGGGGGACGGATCGTGGACGTGACGGCGACCTGCGGATCGTCGACGTGGCGGGATCGGTCGTCGAGGCGGCGGCCGTTCGTGGACGCAGGTGCCCGTTCGTGTAGGCGGCGGGGCTGCTGGCGGCTGCCTGCTGGCGTCTTGCCGAGAGGGCCGGCTGGAGGCGGGCGGAGGGGCTGCTGGCGGTGGGAGGCGGGCGGCGGGCTGATGGCGGCGGGCGGCGGGCGACG